CGGACGCGAGTTCGATTATTACTTTGAGAAAGTTCAAGCTGAATTTGATTATAAAATGCTCCATACCGATCTCACTGTGCCAAGATTCAAAGAAAAGGCCGAAGCCATCGCTTATGCTCAGACAACTGCACGACTCCATGGCTTCGTCTTACACATTGGTGGTGGAAAAGCTAGGAATATTCTCCAGTGTCATAAGAGCAAGTATGACGACGAGAGTGGAGAGATTGGGAAACCAACCAATGCGTCAAGACGGGTGGCATGTTATTGTCCTTTCCAGATAAGAGTAAACAAGCTCGGCCCGAATGACTTTGGACTGGTTTACTGCCATGAGCAGAAAAAGGATGAAAATGGAGACGCCCTGTGTGCGAAACATAACCACAAGCCTTCTGCATCAGTTTCTACCAACGGTGCCTACCGGCAGCTTGATTTGGCCAATATCAGGAAGGGATGCCGGGACATCGATCTTTTTGACATTCTGGTCAAGACCCAGACATTTCCTCGCAAGATTCTGGATGCTCTGCGTCTCATTTCTCCTGCTGCATCCCGACTCACTCGACTTGACATCACCAATAGCATGCAAAAATTCGATAAGGAGGTTTGTGGCGATATGGACCCAGTCGAAGCGCTCTTGATCATGTTGGAACTCTCTCCTCAGATCCATGTTGAACATAGGATCGTCGGTTGTCCTGCAGAGATTACTGAAGAACTGCTTGAGGAAGATCGTCGGCAGGAAAGGTGGGAACCTGATATGTATGACGCGTCTGACGCGGAAGAGCTTGAACCAGGTGTGGACCACTTTGAGACCGCAGACGAGGACGGTGGCCTCCTGGTGGAAGCTGAGCTGATGTCAGAAACTGAGGAATCGGACTACGTAGATGGTGGGATCGAAAACGAGGCGACGGACGAATCAGAAGACGAGTCAGAAGATGAGGAGATTGTGGAGCCGCTTCTACGAAAAAGACCGAGACAATCTAGTCGACGAGTCCCACCGGAGCCAATGCCAAGCACACCGCCGCCAGAGGCTAACCTGCCTGAACAACCCGATGTTATCAAGGATATATTCTTCGTTGTCTTGAAATCAGTGAAGATGCTCAGGGCTTTCTCTGGTGTTATCGCTATCGATGTTACTCACAACACAAACAAATTCAACTACAAGCTTTTCAATGTTATTGGCATTGCCTCTTGTGGTAGGTCGTTCAACATTGCCCATGCACTTATTTCACGAGAGGATGCTGATACTTTCAAGTGGTGCCTCGATCGCCTGAAAGTCTTCCTACAGAAGTACCTAATTCCCGACCCAGGCGTGATCTTATCAGATTGTGCACCAGCCATCAAAAAGGGCCACAAGTACAGTGAACTCAATGGTAGCAACCTGAAGCTCTGTCTGTGGCATGCTGCTAAGGCAGTCGAGAGAAAAGGTTCTGCTTTGTTTGGTTCGAAATCTCTTGAGACAGCTCAACTTGTTTCGAAATTCAAAAAGATGTGCCATGCTCACACAGCGGACGAGTTTGAAAGGTTATATACCGACTTCAAACTAACCTATAAGAAGGAGGGCATGGACCGCGCTGACAAGCATGATCGCTCAATTGATGGAAGGAGAAACTCGGCATACTACTACATTCGACGATATTGGTTTGGAAACGACCAACACCCGAAACATCGTCACAACATTGTGGCTGCCTATTCTAGAGAAAGCAACTTCTTCGAGACAACGACCTCCAGGATAGAGAGTATTCATGCTCTTCAGAAGAGTAATATGAGGACAAGAATTATTTCTCTCTTCCAATGTGCAACGGTCGTTCTGCGTACCTCGGTCAACGTTTTATGCGACCTTGAACATGCTCATGCACGGGAGATGGAGAGGTATCGCAAAGATATCGACAAGAAATTCTGCAAATCTATCCGGACTTTCATTTCCACCAAAGCACTATTAAAGTGTATGGAGCAGATCTCTGTTGCTTCTCACGATGACTACGTTCCTACGGAATGTACTGGACAATATTCTTTGGATACTGGACTCCCATGTTATCACATGATTGGTCATTTGATTTTGTCCGACGACGGCAGGGAAAGGATGCGACCTAGAGCTGAACTGGGAGACAAAAACCTTGGTCCAGCCGTGATACACCAACGCCGAGCTAGGCTCATGCTGGGAGATTTTGATCCTCGTTGGAGATACTTGCACACCACCGCACAGATGAATGAAAGTGATTGGGATGATGCCTGTAACTATGGCAAGTTCAGAGAACGGTGGGAAGCGCTTCGAAAATCCGAGAAAGAGTGGAAGAAGAGAGACGAGGAGCTCGCAAAAGAGGTCCATGCTTATGTTCCGCGTAATGGAGATTGCGTGGCACACATGGTTGAGGACGAAGTTGTTGGTCCGAGACGGAGACGCGTGGGACGCGTAAAAGCCTCCAACGAGAAGAAGGCTGGCCCGAAGTGTCAGATCTGTGTGAACCAAAGGCATGCTACGAGTGCACACTGTTTCAGGGATAAAGGCGGTGACAAGGCTTACCGCGAGTGGAAGAACGGCTTGATTCCTCGCAGGCAGTTCACTGGCCATGTAGTTGGAGGTCCAAAGCGAATTCGGTTGTGTCGTCATTCAAGAACCATGATGACAGCAACAACCGCGGACAATCAGGACAGAGAATACGCCGCTGGATAAACTACTCAGTTCAAGTAATCAATACATTGATGTGCATTTATGAACAAGTTGAACCGTTGTACAATAACTAGAAGCCCGAGAAGCTATCTGAAATACCAGTGGCTCTCAAAATTTTTTTTCCGCGCTATCGCGCGTTCAACTATGCGAACTGCTTACAGTTCAGTAATTATGGGCTCACACTTAGGTGTCACGTTTCAAGTGGCCCACGACGTGATGAGCCATTATTATCTATGAACAGTGCATAAATGAGAAGTAAACCCGCACAAACACCTGGATATTACTTCTTTCAGCTCAGTGTCTTTCCTTAACAAATAAGTTAACGACTTGGGTAGCAGTTTACTTAAAAACATACGTAAGTAAATCTAAACTACGTTTCTTACAATATACTTAAGACATCAGCGATGCATTAGTTTTAGGTTAATATGCAAGTTATGAAAGTTAAGGAGTGTAGACGGGAAGTGAACCCGGGGGGGGGGGTCTATAGGTGACCCCAATCTCATCATCATCTGATGTTGGGATGTAGAGGATACGTCGTTCGGAGGAAGCGGTAGAGAGCAAAGTAGGGTCAAGCATGTAGACAAGATTAGACACAAGTCTCAAGACAATCCCACCGGCGGTCCGGGCAACTACAGCGGCAGATTTCTCGCTTAAAAAAGTCCGACTCGTCGACAAGATAGGGTATCGCACTTTGGTGAACATGGCAAGCAAGCCGCGAGCCGAAAAATATGGCCCACAGACGCTAAAACACAAAAGCAAAGCAAGTTCAGACTCATGTTAGATACAGGGTTGACATCACTCCGTTCGAATTAGCCCTTTTCCTTGTATTCTATACGCCTTTGCATATGCGGTGCATATCTTCCTGTCGATCGATAGTTGTAGTGGACTTTGGAGTTTTAAGGACGGCTCTGTCCGAGAAAACCACGGGTACTTTGTCAACTCACTTTCTGGCGTAGGAAGTCGACCTTTTTCAACTCTTCATCTCCGCAACTCGACTCTTTCGTCCCGTCCGACCAACCCCACACCCCATACCTCGTCCCCTACAACTGACGAGGTTTTGTATCGACCAGTGATAGACAACATCAAACGACATCAAACGACACCTGACAGCCTCAGACACGACAGATATATATCTCGACAATCTGATAACGACTCAGACCCCGTTCCATCGACGCTTTTCCTCGCCTCACTAAAGTGATTGTGCTACTTTCTGTTCCCTTTGCCTTAACCCTTAGCACCTAATACTATCATTGTCGTTTCGAAAGCCCCCACATCTGTTTTCTTTTTGATCTTTCTGCTTGTTACCCAGTTGATTTGTTGTCATACGTGAGTACCCACTGTCCCCCAAGCCCTCAGACTACTACGTCTCCTCCGAGAGATGTAGAGGTGGCAGATCTCATGATGAAGATGAGAGCCTTTCCATTACTTTTTATCTCAATGTTTTTTTGTCTTCTCAATGTTAGAAACCGACGCCATCGAATGGCGCCACTACTGTCCATACCCGTGATTACCCCCCTCCAAACCAGACTACCCTGTTACCCGCGCCTGCCTGCTCAAAAACACACCAAGCCATCTTACACTGACCTTATATACATGTTTCTTTTTCAGGTCGCTCTACCCTCGATACCGTCCCACCACACTTTACCCCTCTAACCATGTTTTTTCTTTGGCCGAAGTCCGCCGGGCTGAATAAGCCGACTAAAAAAAGTTGTGGAAACCTCTCTCATCAGCAGATCTGTGACTTTTACTCCTCGAAGAACGATGATAGTGCCCTTTTTGTTTCTTTAGCTCACCAACAGCCATGAATCCCCCCCACGACCACAACGACCACATGCGTATGGGCGACGCGCGAATGGACGACAACCGCCATCCCGAACACCCCGACTGGAGAGTGAGTATCCCAGACAAAGGTCGACACCGTCGGTCCCAGAGTCATCCCGCAGGCTGGCCATGGTCACAAACGCTATCAGTCTGCATCGTCTTGCGGCAACTGCCCGAAGTCTAAATGTCCGACTTTTTGCGCTCTTGTCGCCGTCTCAACCTGACACCTGTCAACGCTGCATGACTTTTAGGCGTCTAGTGGCGGCCTATTGGCGACCCAGATCGTGTCAGACCGCACCCATCCGTGCCCAACCGACCAACAGTGCCCCCAATGCTTCCCCGACGCATCTCTGTTCCTCCCACAGCCGCAGTCGCCGGACCCTAAACCCGGAGACAGAGACACCCTGCAGTCGAGCTCGGAGCTATCCCTGCGTGGTCCGGTTGCAACGCTGGGATGGACGCTAGTCAAGCCAATCACCTCCGTCTTCTATGCGCCTTCCACAGACTCTAAAGGCGCATGCATAAGGGGCTTTGTGGGTGGCATTGGCCCCGTCGGAACCCAGCGCTACTTGTACCCCAGTGGCTAGCACCAGCGGTGGTGCACACTCGCATACGGGCCCTACATACATACAGCAAAAGACCCGCGAGAACGTGAGCAAAAAAATATCTCTGCCAAAAGTCGCTAACCCATCCAGCTTCCCAGCCTTAAAGGTCACCCCGGCTACCCCGTCATGCCCCACTCGGCCTCACCCAACATCAACCACGTGCACATGAGCCTTCCACATCAGCAGCACCAACAGCAACAGCAGCAGACACAGCAGACACAACAGCATCAGGCGCCACCACCACACCAGTCGCCGCTCCTGCAGCAGCAGCTCCATCCACAGGGCCCTCCTCATCCGGGCCATGCGACCATGAGTCAGCCCCCTTCCCAGCAACAAGCCGCCTCCCGACTGCCGCCGCAAGGACCGCCTCCCCCGGGACCCTCCAACCCGTCGCCTGCAGTCTCTTCCTTCTACCAGGCGTACACTGGCGGGCCTCCCCATTCCGGCGGGCTGTACGAAATGCACAAACGACCGTACCGAAAGCGGCGAAAGGACCCGTCGTGCGACGCCTGCAGGGAACGCAAGGTCAAGTGCGACTCGGTGGACTTCTCGTCGTGCTCTGAGTGCGTGACCCGACAGATCAAGTGCCAATTTTCCAAGTCCAGCATCAAACGCATCTCGTCCATAAAACAGATCAAGGGCCTGGAGGGCTCCATGCGCCAAATGCGTGACCAGCTGCTCGAGTTCCGGGCGCTGGCAGACCATCTGAAAATCGACTTGCCCTCAAACCTGCGCCAGGTCGGACCTCTCGACCTGCCCATGCTGTTTGAGGACGACGGCGACGACTCCCCCAGATCGCCTCCCTCTGGCAGCGAAAACGCGAAAGAAACAGAGTCGCCCCGAGTGTCGTCTCTTTCCCATACGCCCCCTTGCAATTTTGATTTCAGAGTCAACCCCAATGACAACATGACGTACGCCAACACCACCACCACCCGTGGTGAAATCAAAATGCCCAGCTACAATCCAACTACCACCCAGACAAAGACCAACGCCGAGGCCATCTCGCCCGTGGGTCTGCCGGAGGTGCAGAAGACGCTCGAAAAGTACGGATTCGACAAGCCCATCTACTACCCCTGGAAGTGGCGATCTCGAAAGACTGTCGGCGACCTCATTGAAGAGGGCAACATGCCCGAGCTGCCCAAGTGGGAAATCGCCCAGCTGTGGATGCAGGTGTTCCACGAAATGTACCAGCACTGGGTGCCTGTGGTTGTGTGGCCTGACTTTGTGGAGCGAGTCTGTATTCTCTATGGACGAATCCACAAGCCTGCGGCTGAGCGAGAGGCTGCCAAAAGAGCTCTTCCTGTGTCTTGGCTCGGTATCTTTTTTAGTGTTCTCTGTCTGGGAGCACGAGATAATATGGTCAAGGGCTACTCGATTCGCAAGACTGGTTTTGAGTACCTGGAGAACGCCAAAAAGTGCATGAACAGCACTTATGACGACGGCTCGGTAGAGTGCATCCAGATTTGTGTCATGCTTTCCTTCTTTCACCATGAGCGTGGCCACGTGTCAGTATCTCGAGTGTGGATCCGTCACGGAGCTGAGCTGTGTGAGGAGTTTGGTCTGCTGCGTCTGTCCGAGAGCGACACCGAGGTCGACCCTGTTATTCGACACGCCAAGTCTCTCATGATCTGGACCCTGTACGCTGTTGATCGACTGCATTCTCTTTACACTGGCCGTTCTTTGGCTATTACAGACTTGGAGAGCTCCTCCCTTCATCATCCTTCTCCGTTCCTGCTCCGAGGAGACTACTCTACTCTACGGCGACTGGAGAAGCAGGGTCCCATGACCACGGAGCAGCAGATCACCCATCTGGTGAACGACTTGCCCATCATCAAGTCCGACTCCTCTTCCGATGAGTCACTTGTGGAGCCGGACGATCTGCCTACCACCCTGGACACCCGAGACTCCACTGCTCACTCCAAGGGCCAAAATAACTCCACGGCACTGTACTGGCTGGAATCCACGCAGATGTTCAACGCCTCTGCACATATGTTCCGGTTCTCTTCTGTTGTCGGAGCTGCCATCCAGGCCTCCAACGTGCTTGCTCCTGCCTCTCTGGACCTGTTGGAAAAACAGGCTGCTGCCATTGACACAATGTGGCCTCAGAAGGGTCAGATGGATGAGACGGGACCTCTCAACCACGTCTATGTGCCTCCCGTCTTCTATCTCGAGTACCAGAAGCTCTTCTTCCGGCGTCACAATCTCACACCCCATGCTCCTGCTCATCTTCGTCAGCGTGCTGTCACAGACTGTCATTCCACATCACAGCAAATTTATCGATACCTTCGACGAATCATATCTCATTTGACTCCTGCCGAGCTAGCTGCTCCCGCTGTGTTTGCGGATGACGCCTCCGGTGTGCCTATGGGCACCAGAAACTGGCGAGAGAAGGCCATGGTTGTCAACTTTGGTCACCTGCATATCGTCATTGCCTATGCCGTGGCCTACCTGGTCTCTTCCGGGTACCATCTGCGGGCCATCATCATGCTGGAGTTTGTCAAGAACCTCTGCAACTACCAGAGTGATCGGGCTGTGTGTGGCATGCGAATCCTAGGCTTCACTCGGCACTGGAGTCGTCGTCTGGCAGCCGTTGGAGAGAATGCCATCTTCCAGGACGAGGAGGCTCTTGCTCTCCTTTCTCTGGACATGCAGTCAACCTACAAGTCTGCGTGGGTGTGGGACATGAAGGAGGAGCGTAAGAACTTCATGGAGTCGCAGCTGGACATTTCCGACATGAAGCCCCTCAAGCGTCACAAGGGCTACCATAGTGCCAAGGACAAGGTGGCTGTGGGTAACAAGCCTGCATCTATTGCTGCCGAGGCTCTCATTACCCCTCCCGACTCCAAGAGCCCTCCCGCGTCGCCGCCTGCCCCTACACATTCAGTCGAGTCTCCCTGGGACGAGTGGGATATTCTTCGGCAAGAGATTCTGGCTCTCGGCAACCTGACCAAGTCCAAGGACACTGAGGAGGACCAGGATCTGTTGCTCAAGATGGTTCCTGAGATGGCTTCTCGTCTCAAGAAGCGGCCCTCCACAGAAACTGCAGAGACAAACAAGAAACCCAAGGCTGAGGATCGACGAATGTCCATCTCTAGCATCATTTAATTATTTATTTGCATTTTTGACTATCCGCGCAATTTTACCGTAGAGCCGAATGTCTGTTGAACATACTACAATCCGAAACAAGTATCGTAGAAATATATGTACTGGTGCAATAACTACCGATGACAGTACTAGTATGTACATACTACATACGGTACTGTCTAGTGGCACATATCACGTCCATTTCATGTGTTCAGATCGATAAGTTTCATGTAAAAGTTGCATTCATTGTCGAAGTGTCTCCTTACCCAAGTGTCCCTTTACTTGTAGCCATAACAGAATGCTCTAGATGGTAGAAGATCTCTCTCTGAGTAGTTTTTTGGTTCATTTCTATATTAGCTATACCAGACCATACCATATCATATATCGTGCAAAACAGCTCAGTGCGCGCACCTTGGTGTAGTCAGTAATAAAATAGGCAGTCAACCGGTGCGTAATTTTCATTAAGTTGTGGTAATAGCTATACCGATCGATTCAGAATGACTCGCGGAACAATATCCACCTTTGGTCGTACCAACAGTCTGGATTATGAATGCACCTCTGCTCACTTCCAGCACAAGGGTGTAGTATGAGGTGAGAAGTGTACACCATTCGGTGGTGTGTACTTGCACACCAGCAGAGCTGAGCATACAGTCATAGACATTCATGTCGGTCTCCTGTGCCGTCGTAATCATATCTCATTATCATTATATACCTGGTGTCCTACTCGGCTTAGTCCTTGACAGGAGCCACGCCCTTGAAAAAGGCAAACTTGACTGCGAGCGAAAAGCCCACATGCAGTAGCAGCACTAGTACCAGCACTCGCAGGTGCAAGTGGGGCGAGTTCTGCTTCACGGGAAAGTACAGAGCCTTGAGTAGAAACCAACCCGATGACAGGAAGCCGACAGTGGTCAGCACCCAGCCCACAAGGTTGATCCAGAAGCCCACGGGCAGCCACACAGGCAAAATGATGTTGCCGGCGCAGATGAGAACCCACACGCACTGTGAATATCCGTACACCGCAATGAGGTTGACCAATTTCGACAGATGGGGCGAGGTGGCTCCAATGTCCCAATAATTGAGCAGCAGGAAAAGAGCTCCAGGCACCAGAAAGGTGTACGAGTACGTGAGAGCGGCGTTGGCGGTGATGAGCCCAAACTCGTACGAGAACTTCTCTCCAGAGCTGTTTTTGATAAGTCCCACCAACGTGTTTGCAAAGAAGAGGGCGAAGATGAGTGTTGAAGCAATCCAAAAGGGGCCATAGAGGTCCGCAGGCTGGTCTAAAAAGTAGGTGGAACTCTGACCTCCTCCCGACAGAGGGTTCACTGCCTGGACAATCTTGTCTCCCACTTCCTTGGCGTCCACATCAAAGTACTGCTCGTAGAAGGACAGATTCCAGAATTTTCCCGGGTTGGCTCGTGGCACCCGCTGGTTAGCTGCTGTTGACGACGATGTGTTTGTGTTTCCACCCGCCATGGAGCCCTGAACATTGTTGATGTTACTAGCCGGAGCAGCAGCTGGTGTCTCTGGTTGAGGGTCGTATCTCGGTGGCTCCTCGTCGGCCAGAATGTCATCGCCTAGATCGTCTCCCCAGGCGGCCGTGGTGTCGGCATCATCGTCAATTGGGTTGTATTTCGACATGGCGGTGGTGATGATGAGTTGGCACTGTGCGAGCGTAAGCTGAGACGTATGCAGAGCAATTAGACTTTGGGTGCATAACTGCGATAATTACTGAGATACAAGTGGCGATGGAGGTGATGGCGGTACTGCAGTAAATAAACGAGAGGATAGAAGCGGAAGTATGCTGCTTATATATTAGTCGACAATTACTCAGACTATGTCAAGGTGGAGTACTGAACAACATTTCGATTACTTGTTTTTGGTTGGTACCTTGCATCGCTGACTAAGCTAAGCTTCATGTGGCAAAATGGTTGTATGATAGATGAAATAGCAACAATATGGAGGAGATGGAAAGAATATTGATATATCAATGGGATTATTGTGTTTCGGTGATAAATTGGTGTGATTACATATACAGCTCTTCATACAATTATGGACATTGAGTGAATCAAATGTGCTCATAGAGCTTTCTTATCGTAAATGAGTAAAATACTTGGACTTCTCAACTAATATAGTTACACAATACTACATCACTTGGATGTATCAGATCAAGAGGTGTGGACCTACAGGTAGATTCGATACGACTAATCAGATTTTCTTATCATATCTCCCCATATTTCCCATTCACAGTGTTCTGTCTACCCTCTCCCATATCCCCTCTACTATTGCACCTTCCCCAGGTCAGCCATTAACCTTCACCACACGTCAAGTGAACACGCACACGCATATCATCAAGCTCACGGTCTGAACACCACCACACCAACAGACCCCGCCCAAGTCGTTTGAAAATGCACACCTCGATCCAGCGAATCCAGCAAACGTTCAGCCAGGCGTCGACGGTTCTCTCCATCATCGCAGCCATTGTCTTTGTGGTCTCGTATATCCAGTTGGTGGTCGCCAACGTGTGGTCTCTTCCTGAAGCCAACTTCAACCTCAGAGGCTCCAAGGCTGCACGGCGATTCTCTCGTCAGTACGGAGCCAACGACCCCAAGAAAGGCAAGGAGAATGTGGCGCTCAAGTTCGATCTGGACGCGGACCTGTCGCCTCTCTTCAACTGGAACACAAAGCTGGTGTTCGCCTACCTGACAGCCACCTACGACGGCAAGCGAGACGACATTGTCAACGAAATCACCATCTGGGACCAGATCATCACCGACAAAGACGACTCGCACATCAAGCTCAAGGGCGCCAACTCCAAGTACTCGCTGTACGACGTGGAGGAGTCGTTCCGAAACAGAAACGCGACCGTCAAGCTGCACTGGAACATCCAGCCCCATGTGGGCGCCAAGATCTACGGCTCTCTGGACGCCACCAAGGGCTCCATCAAGTTTCCCCAGTTGGTTTAACGTGGAGGACTCATTAGGGGGAGGAAGAAAAGTAAAGTAGCGAAGTAATAGATTTTTTATATGGTATGAGCTGGCCCGTAGTAACCGATGCTGTAGTTTTGGTCATATGGAGCTATTCTATAACATGAGCCGTATCCTAACTAGTACATTGGAAAAGCAGAGTTGTATATGATGCGTCCCCTGTGAATATGCTCTAGATAGCTCTACCTACTGGCCTAGTACATACTGCTCTGATTATCATCAGTGCGTGTACCTACAGTACATTCCTTAATGGTAATGATGTTCGTTGTTCATAATATGTACATATCCTCCTACTTCCTACCTACCTCAAATGCTTCATGGAGTAGGGAAGTCTCCATCGTCTCGACCTGAATGCTTGTCGAATATCCTTCAACTTGTCAGAGTTTCCACTCTTGTCTAGCACCTTGGCATAGATCTCCAGAGCATCGCCCATGATCATGACATGCTTGTTGGACGTCTTTGTGGGTCTGAAACCTCGCACGTGGTCGCTGCGTGCGTTTCGCATGTCGGCAATATCGAATAACCGCTGCCAACAAGACTCGGCCACTCCAAAGTCCGTATCGGACTTCAGAGACTCCAGCTGAAGAACCCATATAAGAACCCGCATACTCTCTGATCCTCCATGCTTTTCTGTGTATGCAGCCAGGAAAGAAGCCATCATTTCCAAGGCTTCCCCCTTCTCAGCACCTTCAGACTCTTCAATGTACCAGAAGGCCTCTCTCACAAAAGGAGAAATAACTCCGGGATTGAGCAGATCGGAGGTTACCACAATATCACGTGCGGCAGCCTCCATGACCACCAGCGCCGTCTTTCGCTGCTCGGGAACCTCCATGTCGTATTGCAACTTGATGTTAGTCAGCATGTTACGAGTAATGGCTCCAGACGGTTGAATACCACGGTCTGTCATTCGCTGGTAAAGAGCCGTAGACTTGGCAGGCTCGCCGGCGTTGGTATAGTGGCTCATGAGGTACTGGTAATGATAATGAGCGAGTTCAACCTTGGGGACGGCCTTCTCGAGATCCAACAACAGCTGTTCGGCTTTGTCAATCTGACTTTGAGCAACAGCACTCTGCATGATGGTGCCGTAGATCTCCGTAGTGAAATGCAGACCTCGGGTTCGTTGCAGCTTGGTCAGGAAATACGAATACTCGTTGTATTTCCTGTGGTACACCAGACCCGACAAAAGAGCAGCATACGAGTTGATATCGACCTTGATCCCAAGATGGTTGAACACAGTGACGGCCTCAGACCATCCTCCAAGTCGCATCAGTGCTCGAATGATGGCATTTGCCACACTGACGTCTTGGGTGACTCCTTCAGTCTCCTTGACAAACTTCATCAAACGAATAAGAGCGGTACGGGAGTAGGCTCCAACACACGCCTGGATCGCGTTGCTCAACATCAACGGAGTAATATCTTCAGCAGGAGTCTTTTGAAGGATTTTGATCGACTCCTGAGGCTCACAAATATGATCGTACACCTGCAGAAGAAGATGGGTCAGTAAAGGATCGACAGGCTTCTCAGAATCGCTGTTCCTCTTGCTGCTCAGTTTCCGGCCGTATTTTGATGAATGATACAGACTCTCCTTGTATCCCTGATTGTAGACTTCGGCTGCATTGGGGTAGTCTCCAGCAGCCATACACATCACCATTTGGAAAGGCAACAAGTCAGCGGCCTTCTGATCAACATAATCCAACAAAGCGGAGCCTCCTCCAGCTTCTCGAACTCGTGCTAAAACAGCGGCAAGCGACTTTGAGTCGGTATTGCTCTCCAGCTGGGCGTATTTTTGTGTAAGAATGTCACAGAAGCGATCCCACTTGCCCAGGACCGCGTAAATGACAGCCACGTGGTCGACGTACTCATTTCGACACAGCAGTGTTGTCTGTGTGGGATCATTGTACTTTTTGAGAGCAGCGTCGTACTGTCCTGTTTCTGTAAGAGCCACCAGAACACGTCCGAACGTGGTGATTGACATTTCCGATGCATTGTCAATCGCCTTGTTGAGCTCACAGATGATTTTGGGCTTCTCTGCAAACAATTCAATGAGCGAAAAGGCGAGCCCCTTGAAAGGCGACTGCTTGATGATGGCTCCCAGAGCCTCGCCTCGGGTGTTCTGGACACAGTATGCCAGAGTCTGTTCTGCGATAACTGTGTTTGTAGCTGTTGGTGTCAACTGTGTAAGATCGCAAGTATGAAGCAGCTTCTGCATGGCCACACACCAAGTGTACAGAGACAGCTTGGTTGCTACGCTCTGGTTACTCTCTTGCATTATGAGACGTCTTGCGTTTTTGACCTGCTCCATGGCCGTGTTGATGCTGTCTCCGACACTGATTGTCTGGGCGAAGAAGACCAGAAACATGAGTATATTCTGGTCCTTGAGACACATTTCCATCATGGTGATATGGTCAAACTGTCTCAGGGAAGCCGTTCCTCCCTTGGACAAGGCCATCTTGTAGGTTTGCATGGCTGTCGTAGCATCTCCCGTCTCCTTGCACCGTTCGTACACCTCCTTTCTGTTCTTTTGCACCGTCATGTTCTTGGTCTTGTTTCCCACACCGGAATGGTAAGGAGACGCCTTTGCGTCGTTGCTGACAAAAGCCAGCCGTTTGTCCTTGCTGTTCTCGAACACCCGCCACATATTCTGCTGCGAAGATGACGTCTTGGGCAGTAGATCGTCGCCCATGGGCCCGTCACTGTGTGCAACCTGACCTCCTTCCAGATCCTCGGCACTCTCTCGTTGGTAAATATCCGAGTAGTTGGGCCCTGCTGACTGTCCAGATCTTCCTGTTGTGACTGAACGGGCAAATCTGGGCGCCAGTTGCGACCGTGGCACTCCACAATACGTCCTCTGTAACATCCTGGTCGTATGCTTGTGTGCCGTAGAGTGGGGTGTGTTGGAAAAATGGGAGATGTGAGATGTGAGATGTGAGATGCTGTGATTCGAGATCTAAGTTCGTGAGCTGACAGTGAGTGGTGAGAAGAGAGGCGATGTGGTAAAATAACAGTAAAATGGATATTCACGAGATTGGACTAAACTTCTCATCAGTCTGTTTCAAATGGGATATTGACAATATCAAGAGATGGAGAAGTATGGTATAAGTAGCTACAGTACAAGATAGGGTTGCTTACTTAACCAGTCCCTTGGTAAGATTATTTGCTCCCATATGTGGCTGGTGATGTGGCTAGTGTAATTGAAAGGACTCTGTGTAGAAGTGTTTGAGATAGAGAAAGAGAGTGATTTTTTTATCAGCTGATTAAATATGGAGGTATTAGTAATTCAGCAAAATATAATGTCCAAATACTTCACTATTGCGCCTATTGTAGAGCCATCCTCACGGCTCTCCTCACCCGCACCGCCTCAATTTTTAAGCTTTTACTCTGGACGGTTACCCGGAGCGTGAAATATGCACCCTCATGTGTGCCACCAAAATTATTTCCTGCTGAACTGAAAGATTGCACAGACACAATACTACACGATGGCTCAGGAAAAAAATCAGCATAAACGACAGGGAAACTCATTCTACGGTGGACGGCCCCGACACACCCAGAACCGGCACAAGGCAAAGCTGGACGAGATCAAAAAGTCGCTGACTCACCGATCGAATGTCAAGCGAAACTACTTCAAGATGCTCAAGAAGGAGGGTCTCAGTATACCCGAGCGAGAGTCCAAGTTCAGCGAGGACAAGCCTGAGACTGTTGAGAAGGCTGAGGATGAATCTGGAGATGAATCTGAGGGCTCTGCGGGCTCTGAGGAGGACGAGGAGCAGCAGGGAGGTTTCTTTGAGGGAGAAGCATCTGGATCTGAAGCTGATGATTTGGAAGACGGGTCTGACGACGACGAGAAGGACAAGGAAGATCAATCGGCCAAGCGACGAAAACCCCTGCCTGACCAACAGCCCCCTACCAAGCAGCAGCTGCGAGAAATGCATGAGAGCCAGAAGCCTCGAAAACCCATGAACTTCAAGGAGCGAGCTGCGCTAGCCAAGGAGCGAAAGCAGAAGGCTCGAGAGGAGCGGGAGGCACAGATTCAGAAGAATAAGGAGGATCGGGAAAGAAAGCTAAAGAAGCGGGCCAAGTTGACCAAGCAGATGACCAAGACCACTCGAACCGGCCAGCCCCTGATGACTCCTCGAATTAACAAAATTCTTGACCAACTCAAGCAGTAGAGCTTGTGGTTGGCAGTAATAGCATAGAACATATATTTATGAATGATAATTGACGATAATATTAACATTTTGTATGTACAGTACATACTTGTACTCGTACTCGTAGTGTTAGAAGGATGGTGTGTAGAAATTTATCAAGTCTATATTATGATATGCATTACAGTAATATCGATTGTTACATCTCATTGAGAGCATCAATAATGGGGTTGTCTGTTCCGTAGTACATTTGGAACAGTGCCGTGCCATTAATGATGTTGGTGGAGTTGAGATCGAAGTCAGACCACATTGTAGGAGCTGGTGAAAGAGGCGTGGGGAAGGAAACGTAAGAGACAGAGTGAGAATCAATGGGGTTGGTAGAACCATTGTAATCTTCCATGAAGTCTTCCGAGTCGAGATCCAGAAGCGAGTCCTTTAGCTTTTCGCGCTTCATGACCGCCAGCTCCTTGTCCCAGTACTCCTTCTCCTGTTTGGTCATTATGTACATTTTGGTGATTTCTCCAGACATGCTCAAGCACAGAATCGACGGGTTCTGGAACATTTGCGACGGCTGTTTGCGCCAGACAGGTTTGTTGTCGGAGAGGAGCAGCTTGGACACGAAGGAAGGAAGGAAAACCTTTCCCGTGGGTTTCAGCAACGTAATTCCGTCGTCGCGAGCCAGAAACGATACACATCGTTCCTTGTCGGCAACTGCAATAAGTGAATCTGACACACCATGGTTCAGACACGATCTGTAGACCGAATCTTTGGCCACTCTGCAAAACTTGTCATCTTCGTATGTCAACACTATGATGCCATTGTTCATAGTACTGGCAATGACTTCTCCCGGGCTCGTGACAGTCAGTTTCACCACCTTACTGGGGAACTCATACTCAGGACCAGATTTGTATTCGATGGAGGGACCAGAGAATTTGGCCACGGAAATCATGCGTCCGAAAGAGTACACCAATGTGTTCTTGGACAGCTGACAGACAGCAAACACGGGTTCGGGAACAGTCCAGGCTGCCTGCTTGCCCAGAGAAACTTCTCCGTTCTTCACCTTGTAGCTGAGAATCACCAGACGGCCCTTGGTGGATGTTGTGTATCCCGATCCAGTAACCAGGTACCGGTACTCCTGGCTGTCGAGAGACAGTCGCCATTCGGCCATGCAGTAGATGACTTCTTTTCGCGAGAAGACCGTCACGCCCCCGTGTTTGCGTCTATCCATGAACACGTTTGGAGAAACCACTGCTCGAGTAGCCAGGTCCACAAATGCCAGATGGTTACCTGTATCGGGGTCCATTTCTCCCAGGAGCGTGATGACAAGTAAATTGACGTCGTCGAGGTACAGAAGTCTTCGTGGCGTCTTTCCAAGCTCGATTTTGAACTCTACTACAGAATGTGCGAGCTCCAGATCAACTAGTTTAAGCTGAGCTGGAGTCAGGAAACAAGCAAACACAGACATAGCTGTTTCGGGGTTAGCTTCTCCGATGAACACGGGACATTCACCGATGATAACTTCATTGGAGGAGTCATCGTTGTGAATCTGCAAAGGAGGAGAGTTGTTGGCCAGGTTCAGAATGTACACGCTGTCTGAAGCGACAAGAATGTAGTCCTGGAATTGTAGCGATGTAATGCGCACGGGGGTATCTCCAAATTGTCTGTATGAGTTGACAGTGACCTCACCCTGAGAAGTGAATGAACAGAACAGTAAATGTCCCGTTCGACATCCAATCAGCAACTCGAATGCACTGTTGATCAGCATGTCACAGGGTGTGAATGGCAGACCGGTCGAAACAGCTGTCAGGTCTTCGATATCGTAGAAGTTAATAGCATCATGTGTTCCGACAACAATGTGATCTTCAATGACCTTCAACAGAGTCACTGGGGCGTCTAATGGAATGGACTTGATGAGCTCAAACGCGTCAGGTTTCACACTGGAAGCTATTCGGTAGACTGACAAGTTTCGATCGTTACCAGGGACGTTCCCTACCGTGGCCAGAAGATTGTTGGGTCCCACGCTTCCCAGTACAATTGATTGGTCCAGGGTGCATTTGTGTCCTGAGAGATCAGTCAATACCAGTGTATTTGGAGTGATTTGTACAAACAGCCCATTTGTGGTGAAACCAGTGTGCAGTGTCTTTTGGTCAAATTCGAACCCACAATCTTCAGCCAGATCCCAAAACCGAGGGTTGGGATCTTCACTGATCGCGTCTTTGTACATGGATTGTCTGATTTTGCTTCTTATGGGCGAAGAAACGACAATGTAGGACACAGGAAATAGTCCAGAGCCGAACGTGACGCTCGAAATGGTGTCGTATTGGTCTGACTCTTCATTGTAGAGAGTTGTGATTCGACTTCCAGGGTTCAGTTGGGTCAGAGCGCCGGTGTTTTCAACTCCGCTGGCAACGTATATGTTTCCGTGAATGATTTCGATATCGGAAGCAGGTGCCCAATTGGGAAACGAGGCTATCGTCTCCATAACGAACGATTTCGCGTCACTTTTCGTGATCTGCAACAGCCGTCCATCAGATGCATCTCCTCCGTATCCCAGCAAGTAGCTCTCCTCATCAGCTTCTTCCAAAATAAACGTCTTTCCAAGATCAACATCTGTCTTGACAACCGTTTTGACACTGATGGTAGAGTTTGTAGCCACAACTTCCAGAATCGAGCCATCCTCACATGAAATGTACACGTGGCTTGCGTCTTCACTTCTGTAATGAGCCACGGGAAATGAGTCTATTGTGCACGAAGGAAACGTGGTCACTCCGCTGAGCATGTCGTTGAACTTGACCAGATACAGGTTCTTGGGACACGCTAGAATGACGGAACCAGACACTGTGTCGTTGAAGAAGAGGAAGACGGGCAGATCCATGATGGGCAGAGGGAGTTTAGAGACGGTTTTGACGGGATATTTGGGACGCCAGAGGTATGTCTCGAGAGTCAGTCGTTGTCGTTCGTTCACAAATAATGCAGACAAGTACACGCCATGGTCTTCTTCTGTGGATGCAATCATGTTGAAACAGTAGTCCATGGCCGTGGAGCGTGGAGAATTGAATGTGGCTGGGGCACCGGCACTCGAGACCACGTGTTTCTCTTTGAAGAACCGTTTTGGTTTGTCGGCAAGAGCTCTGATCTCCACCAGCAGCACAAACTCGGCAAATGATCCTATTGCTGCTAAAGTCGAGGAGGCGTCCACGCATATTTTGCCTCCCAGACCGCTGAGGTTGGGTTTGTTGCGCGGGAAAATGGTCGTGGCATCGAGCACCTGCGGTGTGGCGCCCGTCTCGTACACCTTTACCAGCAGCAGCTCTCCAGACGACATGCAGATGAGAAGATGGTCTCTGGAGAGCTTGTCAGGGGTCTTATCTTCGATGACGCATGCCGATAGCAGTCTGGCGGGCAGCGTATGTGTTTGGTTGGCGATGACAAGTGAGGTTGTCTGTGTTAGTTCCGGTGGGCAGTGATATCTCACGTCATTCGTCTTCACTACTCACCCTGAGGATAACGTGAAACGGCACTCCTTCGGCGTTTCGACACTGGAAAATGTGCTCAATGACGGGGCTGCTGAGCACGTTTCTGTGCACAATGCTAGGTTGGTCGTCCATGTGGCTCTGCTGGCTCCGTGGCCCGGGTTTGTCGTGTGCACGCTGAATGATCAACTTTCCAAATACCAGTTGGTGTGCTGTATACACTCACAAATGTATGCAGACATATCTGGGGATGCATAGTCTGCATGAGACTACATTTAACAGAGACTCTACTGGAATAAGAACTTTTACATGACTACAAGTAGCTGACTAGTGCCCAAGTGTCAAGACGTCAATACAAGGGAAATCCAGCATTGGCAAGAGGCATAACGTTCATTTAATCCAAATGCGTTTGGAACAAGTGACCGCTGAGTATTGTACTGTGCTATAAGGTTTTTTAGCAACTTGATTGACGATACACCAGAGGAACAGGCTTATCGAGAGACAGATGCTACGCCAGAAATGTGGGCACAAGGTCTGAGACGAGTGACCAGTGGGCAAATAAAGAGCCCCCAAACCGAATCACAGTGTTCATTGTTCTAATTCTGCTGATCATGAGCCCAAAGTTGGGCATGGATGTAACATGTCACTGAGGCGCGTATGGTAAGGAGCGCCCAGTGTGAAGGAGGTGTATAAAGTGGACAGGTGCTGGCTGTTTTTGTAGATTTGTTCGCCAAGGAACAGTACTTACATGTCAAGCAACTATTCATTCTGCAAGTTAGGGCTATGGCTGTGTTTACGGGCAAGCTCATATCCTTTACTACTGTAGCTACACTGTACGATACCACCAGTGAGCAAGATACTCCTGCAAGATGCTCCTGCAAGATACTCCTGCTAGACTACAAGTACGAGTACCGTACCAAAACGATATGTGGTGGAAGAAATATTATTATATTTTATCAATGGAGAACTCATTACGTATACAAATATTGTACAGTGATAACCACCAGCAAAATCCAGTGATCGGTATGGACATCTTCCTTGTACAGAATGCCATTCGTTCGCCATTCACAATTACTTAGAGTTTCAAGTAAACTGGTGTTGAAGAGACACACATTTCACATCCAACATACTCTCCAAAGACATTTCAATAACAACGATCACGTCAGATATTGAAGTCCAGAAACGGGCTAACGTCGTCTGGTGCCATTATGATGACTTTCTGGCCCAGATTCTGTATTAATCGCGCGTAGATCTGCTACTTCAGGGTAATTGGTGGAGTGTACCAGTATCGTAGTTACTTCGAGACGGTGGAAGGTGTAGGACCATTCTACAGCAATACCAATCTCAACACCCGGGATCTAGTAGACACACGTGATATACATGCGACATATTTTCTTATAGCCATTTCTAATCCTCCATGTTAGTCCCTTCTCCATGGCAATCTCCGGGATTCTCACAAATGTCGTCCTCTACTTTTTTTTTTGGCTGCCATGTTTCCCACCACATACAATTTTTTACAATACAAGTACTCTCTTCCAACCCTAACCCTCGATAACATAAATACCCCCTCGCACCCCGATTTGCTCGTTAATGTCTACAGGCTCCCATTAGAGTCACGGAGCAATTTTGTTTTCTCCCACAATTGCTGTTGGCCTGACTGTCGTGCAGGTCATATCGTGCTCGGGCTGCCTCAGAGTAACTGTTGATTCGGCTTATTGTCACCCCGCTCTTTTGAGTGGAAGTGCGGCCCCAAGACATACATCTTTGTCCCTTGCCTTGTATTGCGATTTTGGCCATCGGTATAGACGGCAAAATTGTCGTGCTCCAGGAGTTGGTTTTTAGAGTTTCGCTAATATGCTCTATAAACGTTTAGAGTGGTAAAACAAAACGTCTGTACGAACGATCTCTTGTATCCACAGGATGTCGACTGCCCCAAGAATATCGACTTTGTTGGGGCAGATCTCCGAGCAATACCTCTGGAGTGACCACCATCACATCTCCTGGTGGACCTCGTCATTTTGGGATCAATTTTCCGATGTTGTGATAACCAGATGACTGTAAATTTACGGTACAAGGAACGACGGAAAAGATCTGCTTATTCAGATTACGAATCTTTGTTAGCGAGTCTAGGGAAGATGTCGGTATAATGGGGTGCAAGGCGGGGGGTGTTTGTGGTCTATTGTTCTATATTACTGGTACATACACACACTGTGCCGTGTTAGCTCCATCCATCTTGATCATCTCCAGCTGTGTAGGTACGAGTGGCTGGACCCTTATGTTGTGTTAGGATAGCCCAAAATGAAATACAAAGATATCTGATGAGTCGCCTCGGTGAAAACATTTGAATGGTACAGTTCTCTTCTTCCTAAGATCATTATCGGATGAGTAAGTCGTGGGCTCATACAGTATGTAGTGTTCTGATGCCATGGCGACTGTTAGCACACAATATACTATAGCCAATTACTGGAGAGCTCCGGTGTACTCATTTAATCCCCCGGAGCTACTACAAGTACGCGCCGCAATTGATCGTTAATATATACATGAATTGGTTATGTCTTCTCTATTTCTTGGCAAATTCGAGAAGAACGGCATCGACATCCTTGGACTCTCGCTGCTGGATCTTGAGCTTGAGCAGGTTGGGCTTGGGACAACTGGTGGATCGGGCATCCTCACCCTTGGACATGTAAAACTTGGCACAGCACTCGTACAGTTCGTCAATCAGCTTGGTGCACTTGCTCTCGTTGTAGCCCGATCGCTGCAGGCAGTCTGTGTTAGTGGTTGAAGTTGAGCTGGGGTACGGAGAACATCAATCTCAAAAAAGGAGAGCCATTGGAATTCTTGCCTGTTGTCTAAAATGACATTAACAGAGTCAGATCAAGGGCTCGATGGTAGTTTTGTAGAATGAACGGTTTCAATGAGGGATTTGATCGGCGTTTGACCCATATCCAAGCTTATCAAAGGTCCGATCAGCAGAAGCTCGTGAAATAACAGTCACTCTTCGCAGTAATCCAGTCGCTTACTTGGAGTGACCTACTCGGCTAGCCTCCTACTAGTAGGTGTAGGCTGCCTTCAATTCCTCTAGCCACACCCTCTGAGAGTCAAGCCCATTCCCATGTATTTACTCACCCTGGATCCGACAGGCATAGGCGTGGCAAGGCTGCGAGTTGTAGTCGATTTCTTCTTCAGCCATTGTGTTTATCGTATGTGTTGTGCTGTGTTGCTGTGTGGAGATAGTAGAGTGGGTTATGCATGTTGAGCTTGATTTCCCTTCTTGTAAGAGATGAAGTGGAAAGCAGTAATTGTGCTTCACTGTTCATAAATCTGGAAAAAGGTAATGTAATTCAAATAATCTAGTCTTACACTACAGATTAAGAGAAAAATCACCTCAATCAGACAACTTTTGCCGTAATTAGAATGACGCGCAAAGTTCCACCATCGTCCTTCATCGAACATTAAGTTGAAGCAGTACAAGTAGGAAAGACTATCTACAATCCACAGTACCTACTAGACACTGGACATGGTACTTGTATCACAGAAATACAATCTACATATATCATTCTGCTCCCCTTTATTTCTTGATACAAATACCGACTTTTAATATATCCGTGGTACCAATTACTGGTACCAATCACACCCCTTGACGCATCTTGTTGACCTATTTCTCTCTCCTACTTTTGTTAGACAGCTCTCATTGCAGAAAAGATGGTATCGTGACACTCCCCTACTAGCTCAATCAAACTATGGTATAGATCCGACCTTCTGTCACATATTATCTCCTCCTTTTGCCTCCATCTATCTTCTCTCCTCTCCTACATCCTCCAAAGCACGTCAACTCTAATTAGAACACGACTTTTCTCATTTCACGACGCGTCTACGCCTGTTCAAAAACATGTATCGACGCCCTGCGAAGCGCCGGGTGCCCAATCCCGATGTTCTTTTGGCGCCTTTCAAGCCGCTGACGCAAAATCTGCCTCCAAAAACCGACCCCAAACCCTCAATATCAGAATCGTCCGACTCGGAGTGTGCCAGTGACGATGATGAACAGGAAAAGCTGCGGGTCAAACGACGAAAGCTGAAGGAGCAACAGGAGGAGGAAGAGCGCCAGAAACAGGAAGCTGAAAAGAAACGACAGGCCGAACTCCGGGAGCAAAACCGACGCATTTCAAAGGAAGAAGCGGCCCAGATGCTCAAGGCCGTGGCAGAACCAAAACGTGCCAGACAAGCGGATCTGGGTGTGCTGAGGTCTGCCGAGGAGATTGAACAGGAGCTCCAGATCCGGGAGCGCAAGGAACGCGTGGAGTCCGAGAGAATCAGCGCCAGAAACCTCTCGTTCAATGCTCTGTATCGAAAGAAGCTGGGGCACAAAAAGAAGCATAAGACATGGGATGGAGATGGAATCGTGGTCGTTAAGGGAGAAACACTGTCGCTCTACACCCCTGAAGGTAAGGGGATCGTTCGGGGTTTCAAATTGCAGCCCCAGGTAGTCGTTGAAGAGGGTCAGGTGCTGAAGGTGGGTCCTCTAGAGATCGAACTTGAAAGTACCGTGGTGGAGGCCCAAAGAGGAGTGCTAGGCATGGTGGAGGATATTGAGTCACGTACAGCAGTTGAGAAAGGTCGTTCTGCTTCCGCATTACGTGAGTCTCCTGTTCCAACAAATGATACTCCAGAGCCATTGTCAGTTGAAGCAACTTCAGCGGTTGTGACGGAAACATACACGCTTCCTGCTCCCACGACTTTCAAGGCAGTGAAACGTCTACGTGTTAAACTACCACAGAAGATCACAGAGGAAAACTTTGCGACATTCATTCAGGATGTCAAAATTGACCCTCTGTTGAACACTGCCCTTCGGCCTCATCAGCGCGAAGCAGTCGACTTTTTGTACCGTTGTGTGATGGGTTTCAACCCCACATCAGGCTATGGAGCTCTCTTGGCCGACGAAATGGGTATGGGTAAAACACTGATGTCGATTGCTTTAATTTGGACGCTATTGAAGCAGACTCCGCTCAAAGGGGAACCTCCTCTAGCTAAACGAGTGCTGATTGTCTGTCCTGTGACTCTAGTGAACAACTGGAAGACTGAAATCAAGAAATGGTTGGGCCCTTCACGACTAGGTGTTATGGCCATTACTGACAGTATGAGCATTGATCTGGGAACGGTGATTCGAGATTTCACCTATGGACGGGTAAACCAGGTGATGATTATCGGCTACGAACGTCTCCTGCGAATTTCTGATCAGTTGCAGTCTGCCAACTTTGATCTGGTCATCTGTGACGAAGGTCATCGAATGAAAACTGCCGGAAACAAAGCCGCTAATGCCATCCAGAGTCTGGGGGTCGCCCGAAAGATCATTCTCAGTGGTACTCCGATCCAGAACGATCTCAAGGAGTTCTTTGTCATGGTTGATTTCCTCAATCCCGGTCTACTGGGCTCTTTCCAGCAGTTCAACAAAGACTACATAATTCCCATTGTGCGGTCTCGTGCACCCGATGCATTCCCCAGTGAGCTCGAAAAGGGTCAAAAACAGTCTGCTCGATTGTCGTCAATCACTGGCCAGTTCATTTTACGTCGAACTGCTGACATTTTGTCTCGCTTCTTGCCCCCCAAGACTGAGACTGTTCTCTTCTGTCTCCCCAACGCCCAGCAAACGGAAATATACACCAAGCTGTCTTCCGAGTATCTGAATCGACTCGAACGCCACCAAGTTGACTCGTTCAAGTCGATACTGTCACTCAGAAAAGTGTGTAACTCGCCCATTCTTTTGTCTGAGGATGGACCAGCCCTAGACTCGGGAAAGGCATATTTGCGTAACTCTGGTAAGATGAACACGCTGTTTCGCATGATTGGTCAACTGCGAGCACGTAACAAGATGGATCCTGACAACGCAGAGAAGGTTGTCATTGTATCGTCCTTTACGCAAACTCTGGATGTTATTGAGGGGCTGGTAAAGGACCTTAAGCTGTCATTCACTCGTCTGGATGGATCCGTACAAGCTTCTGCACGTGCCAAGATTGTCAAACAATTCAATTCTTCTTCCGCAGATAGCTGTTTTGTGTTTCTCTTGTCGGCGCGAGCTGGAGGAGTGGGTATCAATCTGATTGGTGCGTCTCGATTGTTCCTGTTTGACCCGGATTGGAATCCTGCTGTCGACTTACAAGCCATGGCTCGTATCCATCGAGATGGCCAGAAGAAGCCCGTGTATATCTACCGTCTCCTTACTACTGGATGCATTGACGAGAAGATTTTCCAGCGACAAACTATCAAGACCGGTCTGGCCAACTCCCTGATTGAAGGCACAGAAGAGGCTGATACGTTCACGGATGAGGAGCTCAAGAAACTCTTCTCTATGGACGTGCTGACCCATTGTAATACGCATGACTTAATGGAGTGCAAGTGTGAACACAATGGAGGTGATCTGGGAGAGGTGGTTGAGGAAGTGCAAGTGACCAAGGCCACAGCTTCAGATTCGTTCACTACGGCTCGTGAACTGGAGAAGAACCAAGACAAACAACAGAGGAGTCTCAAGAGTTTGCTGGAATACAAGCATATCAGTCCAGATGTTGTTCGTGAGCAATGGGACAGTCTGTCTGAGATTGGAGATGTGTTGCTGGAGAAGATTGTGGGAGAGAAGAATGATTTGGTTAGTTATATTCTGACCAAGACTTCAGTTCAAGCGTTAGACGAGGTTGATACGGTGGACGTTGTGGAGGAATGATAGAGAAAATGGTACGGGATTGCATAGCATAGCGATAGATGGAATGCATTGGAACTTACTTAATGGCACGACACTACTTGTAATTTGTATTTCATTTCAGGCAAATTTCACATAAACGGGTGTTGGTTCTTGCTGCTGGTTCACATTTCCTGGATGCCGAGTGTTGGTGACGATGGGAGCCAAGCGCCTTCTAGTAGGGCTACTCGTACTTACCGAAGTAGTCTCTACAAAACACTATGGTAAGATGGTGTTGTACAGAGCAGTTGTAACGGGTGAAGATTGGTTTACGGCTATCTGTGGCCCAGCAACACATCAGTTTTAGTCTCTCTAACCAAACAATATTATCCATTGTAACAGTTCAATAAGACACCGGAGCTTGCCAATTCAGTCTTGTCTGAACCACTACTGTACGAGTATTCGTATCATACTCCAGGAGTGCACTCTGTACTTGAGGCTCACAAGCACTGTATGATGCGCTATCGTACATGCCGTTCGAGACTGTATATCACGTTATTGGTGTGTTTGAGAGCGAAAAACCAGATTTCCATCATTTCCCATCACTTTCCATCACTTTCCACGACCTTTTACTCGTTATACATCACCCACGAGTGCGCGTACTCGTACTGTATTCGCCAAACGTCAAAATGCCCTGTTAATTAATGGGACTGTTAGAGTTCCGATAAGAGGAAAAGTTTAAGCGCATCACATGCTCCCAAGGGTCTGTTGGTGATAATATGGACTAATAACGAATCATAGGGTAATGAAACTAATCAATAAGTTGGATATACTGTATAAGAGGGTGTTTATCAAAGTATCGTTCTTGTACTTGTACAAGTAGAGCAAATATAAGAGTAAGCGACACTGTACAAGTATTTGTATTTGTAATATGATCTAGACAAAACGCTCAGTTGCTTCAAAGTGCTATGGCCATATACACACTTAATAGCAATCATATGGACTTATCCTTGTTGCCAAAAAACGAAGATCGCAAGCTCAAGCCTCAAGGGTCGCTGCGTGTAGTTGTACAAGTACAAGTAGATCTTCATCATCTATCTATCAACCGGAGAATGTACTCGTACTTGTAGCATCCTTCTACCTGTACAGTACGTGTACGACCACACAAAGAGTCATTAGTTAGTACATAAATTACAGGACGTTGCTGAGTGTTCGTAGCCAGGCCTATTGATGAAGCGATAGGTCAGCGAGTTTGATTGTATTGCAGAGTGTCAGATTCCATGAGGTAAGATGCAACCAGTCTCCCACAGTACAGTACATACTGTATCGTAAATGTGAGGCAACATTCTTGAGTCATCTAGAGGGCAGACATGGTATAGTCATGCTCAATACCCGGAGTAACACTGGCGATAAACTTCAAGAACGTGACCAGGTATTGGTCCACCCTCATAGCTGAGTTTTCCACTTCCTCCCACTCCTCCTCCCCTTCTCCGTCATCTGCATCAGCCACGCCGAGTTTGGCCACTCCCCTGGTAATGTCTTTATCTCCCTTGGCCTCCACTCTCTCCATAAGCACTCTCATGACGTTGGCATGCTTGCAGGGATGAATGGCCACCATGGTGATGTTATCTTGGAACGTGGGCCGCTCAATCGTCACTGTCTTGTCTCTGTATTCGGGAATAATGTCTTCAAACATATCTTCGGGCGTCAGAGGCGATCCTTCGGGAGAGTAGCCTGACAGAAACATCTTGGGCACCCGGTACGACGTAGAGTATGCAATGTAGAGATTGTAAGTTCTGTGGTCGGTAGCCGTGGCAGGAGCCTCAGCTGCATCATCGTCATCGTCGTCTAGCTCCTCAAAGTCCGAATCGGCAATCTCAGCAATCTCCTCTGTGTCGTCTCCATCTGCGTCCTTCGTGTTGGCCACTCCAAACGACGTCCATCCGTCCTCCTCCTCTCCCAGAGTCACGGGTCCGCTCACGGTCGAGGCTCGCACGTGACTGGGCACGTGACGGGTCACCAGCACCTGCTTGTCCGGTGGCAAAAAGTCTCGCACCTTGGACTTGCTAGCAGACGCCCAGCTCCACGTGGGGAACTTTTCGACCAGGTAGTCGCCGGCCTTCACAAACTCGTCGGGAGTGATTTCGCCGGTCGTTCGGAACGTCGACGTGTTAGATACGGGCGTGAGGTACTCGCGCAAGCTGGATGCGGCTGCTCGGACGTGTAGCATGGTGGATTTGTGTAGTGTTGTCTGGTAGTCTGGTGTATTGTAGGAGGCAATATAAATAAACAGAGTTGGTGGAGCCTGCGTCTTATCAAACTTTATCGACGGGTTGGAGGAGATAGAGGGAGGTGACAGAAGGCGAATGGGAGGATATATGTGGTTTAATTCGACAAATGTCGGGGTTATAAGTACTTGTACTATGAAAATATCTTGCTTCCCTTTGTGTGCTTCCATTTAGGACTTTTGGAGCAGATTTTGACACGAGTTTTCGCCCAATCAAACAACAGATCTAAACGGGCATTTACTTAACTCAATAGTTGACTTCGAGACCTCTGGGTCATGGGAGCGGTCATGTGAACTATACAAGAGTAAGAGACAGTTGTGGGGAGATGGAGTCCCGTATCAGACCAATGACACAAGGATAAGGTCATGTGATCATTATACCATATGAGGTATTGTATTCCATGGGATTATTCTATTGTATATAGTGCACCCATAGTATGTACATACTCGTATATAGTTTACACTGTTTTAAACAGAGACATTACTACAGCAGTTCTTGGCTAGCTACATTAACAGAAATGTTTCTGTTAGATGCCATTTACTATCGACTAGGTACGAATACGAGTACCCGACCTTACCTGGAAATAGAATGGTCCCTCTCTCTAGACCGAAGCAGAACGCTCCACGAGACAATGACCTATTTGAGTTGAAATGACCATGGAGGTTCAGAGAGGATGTGTCTTATCAGCTCTTCATCAAAAAGTATTATAATCATTTAAGACCTCTTGGTATGATATCGGATCCGTAAGAGAAGCAACTTTACCAATCTGGAGCAAGTCAAGTCTACGGTGTGAGAACACATGTCTTGGATGACCCGCTTACTCACTGTTCCCAAGTAAAATTTCAATTACTGTAACAGTACGACCACTGCTGGAGTTCACAACGAATTCATCTCGACATAATCGTTTCAAATGGAGGGATATACGTGAAGTATAGTATCTAGACTCGGCTGAATCCAGATCCCCGGTGCATACTTGCCCTCATCATCATGTTCTCTCATTGTGACATACAAGGGCAGATTCCAACTCCAGAGCAACTATTATAACCACTGGTACTTTTCCACGTATACTTACATAATCACACACTCTCACACAACCCTTACCCAACTGCCTTCATTACTCGGTTGTACCAGTGTAGACATCTCCTCAACGCGCCGTAAATCAGTAAAATCGAGCAAGCAGAAGACAAAAATGGCCTATGTAGACGTCTTGCACCCCTATTATCCCTCATTTCCCCGCCACCCGTTTTTAATCCCTCCTCTTGACATGGGCAAAAAGTCCTATCTATCCTCGTCCCAAAAAATAAGATTTGTGACTGTTTCACGTGACTCTTCCTAATTGGGATTCCCCAACTCTGGGACCTCCCAACGCCCTGCAGTTTGAAATACTTGTCTGGTTGATTCTACGAACACAGCATCCAACACAGCAAAAATGGCCAAGGCTTCTATCAACGACGTTGTTACCCGAGAGTACACCATCCACCTTCACAAGCGAGTGAGTATTGAGCACAGGATCGGAAGCAGCACCATGGGTTGTGAGGGTAATGTGGAGTGTGCGAGAATGCAAAATTTTTGACCTCACACGACCTCATAGAATCCACAGAATCCTTACAACATGACCCGCCCCATTGTGTGGGTAATGGTACCTTCAACACAACCAATGTCACCACCACCATATACTAACCCCAGGTCTTCGGTGTCCAGTTCAAGAAGCGAGCTCCCCGAGCCGTGAAGGAGATCAAGAAGTTCGCCAAGCTCCACATGGGTACTGAGGATGTCCGACTCGACCCCGCTCTCAACAAGGAGCTGTGGAAGCGAGGAATCAAGGGTGTTCCCCACCGAATGCGACTCCGAATCTCTCGAAAGCGAAACGACGAGGAGAACGCCAAGGAGAAGCTCTTCTCTTACGTCCAGGCCGTCAACGTTCCTTCCGCCAAGGGTCTCGAGACCACTGTCGTTGAGGTTGACGAGGAGTAAGGGATTCCTCTCAGCACCGCAAACACAAAATTTGGATTGATTGTCACTTAAAAATAAATTGTACTTTATCAGCCTACAGTTTTACACCTGTAGCCCTACCTCCTAACGGGGAGTAGTTAGTCGTAGCAATGGGTGCTCAAACAAACACACTGCAGCCATTTAGGGAGATTGTATGGGTTGTATAGATATATTATTTGTAAATCGATACGAAAATGCCCCAACTCCCTTTCCTGATGTCCTGATCTTTGATCCATCGAAAATTGTTCTATTCGACTGTTCTATCTAACTGCTCTATCCAACTGCTCTATGGAAGGCGTGATCCACATCTCATTCACTCATTCATTGCATTGTATCAGATACTACGACGACCATGTTTCCAAGGCCTCCGGTAAGTCTCTACCTGTCCTCCCCTCTACCTCTATTCTGTATTGGTTTGGTGGTTCAGTGGCTACTTCTAAAGACCTGAGACTCGATAGACAATTGTGCAACGGGCAGATGTCACTCATGGTTAACTATTGAAGCAGTGTAACCTGTGTAAGGACTATTGGTGATATGCCTGCACGATAGTATGTACAACAGCATTCTACTTGTAGCCGGACCCTGCACTCAACACGATCATATATATCAACCAACACACAGGTACAAGTACAGGTACAAATACCGGTACGAGTACCGTACCAGTATGTACTCGTACTGTAGCTCACCGTGTCCTTCTTGGTATAATGTACCTTCTGTTCATCCGGCATTCTGTTTTCATTCACTAAGGATAATGTTCAGTAAACTGCCTCAATGGGCAGTCCTGTTAACGATGTACGGGGGTGTACTTGTAGCAGTAAATGTGTGGGTAGTAAACAATTCATCTAAACCAGCTGTTTCCCACTCGTACCGGCTTCTGCTTATTCGATAACCGTGAGAACACCTCCGATCAAATGAAGAGAACCCACAACAAAGACATCCACGGGACCATCCTCGGCCTCCTTCTTAACAGTGTTAACTGCCTCCTCAATAGTGGCGAAAACAGTGCTCTTTCCTCCGTCAAGACTTTCCCAAACCTTCGCCAGCTCCTTCTGCACCTCCAGCTTGTCCACGGCCTCGGCAGAGGTGTTGAGAGAGGTCAAATCAGCAGAATAAGTTCCCGAAGCCCAGGTCACATTTGTAGAGAACAACGCCTCGTCAATCTTGACGTCTCCAAGGTTGGCATGCAGAGTTCCCAGCAGAGCATTGGCATCTCTGGTCTGCTGGTTGAAAAATAGGATAGTCTTAGCCTTCTTCTCCGAGCTCTTCTTGACATCCTGAAGCCATTCGCCGGCTACAGTGACACTCTCCTTGGTGTGTGCACCGTCCAGAAGCCATCGGATGTTGCCCTGCTGGATAGTCTGGCATCGTCCGGCCCACTTGGACTCGGCCAGACCGGTGATATACTCTTTGGGGAGAGTAGAGCCCTTGGGAATCACTCCCTTGTCCTCGGTCAGCACTCGGACGTGCTCGCCAACAAGGGCGACAGCCAGAGAGGCGTTAATCTTCTGAAACTCGGCAGGCAGACCCAGTTTGATTTCTCCAGAAGCAATCTCAGGTCTAGTAGTCACCTCTTCAAAAGGAGCGTTTCTCTCGGCAGCTCGCTCTTTGAGCACCTTGAGAGCCGACTCGGGCTGAGCCACAGAAAAGGCCTTGGCCCCCGGCTTGAAAATACCGCCCTTGTTCCACGCAATCTCCTCAATGGCGTTGCCCAGCATAAACGTATGGTCAATGCCCAGAGGCGACACTCCGGTGACGGTGGGCTTTTCAATAATGTTAGTAGAGTCGTATTCACCTCCCACTCCGACCTCGTAGATTGCAGTATCTACTCCCTCCTGCAAAAAGACGTGGAAGGACAGTAGAGTCAGGTATCGGAAGTAGACAGGTTTGATGTCCTGTCCAAAGGTGGGGAACTCGCTTGTATCAGATTGCGAGCCGGAAAGGCGGTCCCACAGCTCAAAGAAGTATTTGGCAAACTTCTCCTCGGAAATTGGAGCTCCATCGATACAGATACGTTCCCGGACGCTCTTGAGATGCGGAGAGGTGTAGAGACCGATCTTGGAGATTTTGTCACACGAAGGAGCGCCCTTGAGCTGGTTGAGCATGCCTTGGACAAACGCACAAGTCGAGCCCTTGCCCTTGGTGCCCGTGACGTGGATAATGTTGAGTTTGTTGAAGTCCGAGGGCTGGTATCCACATCGTCGAGCCCACTCCAGCATCTCTGGAATCGCCTGGTTGTTGGCCTTGCCGCCACTCTTGCGGATCGCGTCGATCGTGGCGAAGTTCGACTGCAGCGTGTTCAGCGCATTCACCGCATCACTGTATGTTTTGGCCATGGTATGGGCTTTTCGTAGATGGCGGATCATGGGGATGAGATAGGTTTGATCTGGGAGATATATAGTCACGTGAACCACCGTGCTTACATGCCCACGTCAGTGAGAATGAGAACATGCCTGATTCTGCAATGTAGGTAGATATTTCGGAAGTTTTTTATTTATTTGTTCCCTCGGGTTTTTTTTTTTTTTTTTTTTTTTTTGTTTTGTCATTCTGTCTGTTCAAAATCGAGGGTCCCTCTGTGTTATCGACGTCTCCTTCCCCGTATCTATATACCCACCTAAATCGACACTCCCAATGGTTGGAGATTGTCATGAAAAGGGGACACATTCATCATGTACTTGTACAAGTAGACGTGGTAGAGAGAAGTTGAAAGTGGCATTTTATTCACAAGAGCGGAGATACTTAATAGGAGAGAATCAATCATGCGTTTCTTCCGAAATTCGATGTTTGGTACACCTTTTCATCACTTACAGTTTCATACAGTTCTCTGATAACCAACCTTATCCAGAACGGTGATATTATCCAGAAGAGTTGTAAACGGAGTGTTATAATTGGAGTCGAAGTGCCGGTATCGGTAGTGTACCGATAGCTGGGCCACATGCAGTTCACAAACATCTATTTGTATATCGTTGGTAGTCATAAGATAGTTATATTACTCATAAAATGTGGTAGTCGTGCTGCTAGTCGCTCCTTCCCCGCGACCACCACCTATATACAATGCTAATTGATCATCACAAGAGAAATGTGCAGAAAGCCGTCCGGATACATCGCCATGTAATAGAGGTTAGCAAGTACGGCATTCAGCGGAACCTCCACACCATGAACCACAGCTCGGGCTACCACAGGCTTGGTTTCCGAGGGGAAGAAGGTCGGCAGATGGGAATGCAAAGATTGGCCGATAGTCGTCAGCTTCCCGTCGTCGGTTTCGGGCTTGACAATAGCGGCAATGCACTGGTTACTCATGGGCAAGTAGACCTTGATGGGGAGACTTCTGATAGCCCCAGAGTCCTTTTCGCGAGGCAGAATGGTCGTCATGATGGACCAGAATGTCTTAAAGTCATGGGATACGAGTGAGTCCCACATCTTCTGTGAGTTGGCGTTAGACAGGCTCATGACCCGGTTGGCGTTTCCGTCCCGTGACACACATGCCTCCTTGAGCTGGTGGATCCAGTAGTCCTTGAGCGTTTGCTTAGTGGGGATTCGAAGCAGCAAGCCTTTCGGATACTCTTCTTTCTGATCCACTTGTAGAGTGAGGATCCACGGCGATTGGACTGTGTCAGGGTTGGAGGGGTCTAGGCCAGTGAGGAGATCGTAGGAGAGACCTACTGGCCAGTTCCTTAGTTAGTACACGGTAGTGAGTGACAGTAGGTCACGACCGGTCAGCAGCAAAAGGATGCTCAGAACGAGTGACTTCATGTAGGTGCCCCAATATGAATATCCGAATAACACGAACGTACCAGAAGGGCATTTTGTAGACCTATGATGATTGTATCATGTTGAATCGTCATTGCAATAAGCTATGATCACTCACTAGAGAAGGTGGTGACCCCAATCCGCTGCTCAACAGCGCAACAACAGAGCACGAGTAACGTACCCTCTGGTAATTGAATACAGACATTTCGAAACCAGCCCGTCAGTCTATCTACCGTACCATATGTCGCTGTTTCATCCAGCACCAAACCACGTTTATCTCCCATCTTCTCAACTCACCATTTCACAGGAACACCTTCAAATTCGAACCAGGTTTCGAAGTCATCCTCGTCGCGATATCGCCCAAAGTACCTCAGTATCGTCTCCACGTAATTGTGCAAGTACGCCACCCGCGGGATTTGTATCTGTATTAGTCAATCAATCGAACGGTGATGCGTTGTGTACCATACTCACGTAATACACTTGGGACTCCAAGAGCTTGTCGTGGGGAATACTGAGCACGACTTTGACGCTGATGGATCCGTCGTAGAACCGTTCACGCAGCTGCTTGATTGTCGCCGACATGCTGTGCTGACTCCGCCAATTCGATCCGGAGGTGAGTTTTTGTACTGTGGGTGTGTTTGTGAATGGTGATACCGATAATGCGTGCCAGTGCGGCGTGCAGGAGGTTAATTAGAGCATGACGGGAGACTCAGACAAGCTCACTAAGGGCGTGGGTTCGAGCTCAGGGTGTGGTATTAATGACATCATAGGATGGAGCTAAACAAAGAGATGGGGACAGGGGTCAACATAGGCATGTAACAAGTGTGTTCCTGAGCCATACATTTATCTGAGCCATACACCCATATCCGATGACGAGTTTTCTAGGTTGGACCGGGTGCACTTAATTATAGGATACTAGGTATACATTGTGAGATACGTAGAAGCAACAGAAGTACAAGTAACTACAAGTGCAAGCTTCCTATTGCTGGTGATGGCGCTGTCGTCCCCCCCCCCCCCCCCCCCCCCCCCCTATTACTCCATTTCATTTAAAAAAAATTTTTTTGTAGCTACAACTACTTTTTTTTTTTTTGTGTTTTTCCAGCAGCGAAACTCCCTACTCATCCCCCCTACCACTCATGGGGGTATCTTCAGGGGGGAAGGCCACCCCCCGAAGCCCTCTTTATCCGCTTATAAAGCTCATGCAACTGGCCGGCGTCATGACCCCCGGCCTTTATAAATCCAAATTCCTCCTTCTCCGTAAACAAGGAAAACAAACCTGGGCCCCAAGTCTGCTGGTTAAAAATCAAAGACCAAAGGATCCCTCAAAAACCTGACCAGCGGGGGATTTATTAAAGTTTTTTCGCCTTTTTGGCAACAATTCCAACTGGAACTTTGGTACTATAAAAAAGCACCCCACCTTAAGATCTAACTTTTATTTAACCCCCCCCCCGTTGGGTTAAACACAAACAGAGAGTGATTCCCCATTTATCAAGTAGAAACAAAGCATGTCGTGGAGAACCCCATAATGAGTATATGGAGGGTAGGGGTTCAAGGATTTGGCGCTTAAAAAGTAGTATATAAAATAGAACCCCATAACCATAAATTGAGGCAAACCCTGGTAAGAGTAATTCCTATGATGGCAGTTGTGGTTTCACCGCTTCCAACGACAAGTAACAAGATCGGATGAGATGGGACGATCCGACTTTTTTTACATCCTGTACAGAATGAAACATAATGATTTGCATCCCCCCTTATTATTCAAGTCATAAAAGAAAATGGTTC